GATAGACAAACCTTTATCCAAACTAACCAAAAGGTAGAGAGAGAGCATGCTAATTAACAAAATCAGAAATGAAAAGAGGGACATAACAACAGACACTGAGGAAATTCAGAGAATCATCAGGTCATACTTTGAAAACCTGTACTCTACAAAATTTGAAAATTTAAAGGAAATGGGCAATTTTCTGGATAGATATCACTTGCCAAAATTAAATCAAGAACAGATAAACAATTTAAATAGACCTATAACCCCTAAAGAAATAGAAGCAGCCATAAAAAGTCTTCCAACCAAAAAAAATCTAGACCAGATAGTATCAGTGCAGAATTCTACCAGAAATGCAAAGAAGAGCTAATACCAATACTCTTCAAATTGTTCCACACAATAGAAGCAGAAGGATCACTGCCAAAGTCTTTTAACGAGGCTACAATTTCCTTAGTACCCAAACCACACAAAGACACAATTAAGATAGGGAACTACAGCCAGGCGTTGGTGGCGCACGCCTTTAATCCCAGCACTCGGGAGGCAGAGGCAGGCAGATCTCTGTGAGTTCGAGACCAGCCTGGTCTACAAGAGCTAGTTCCAGGACAGCCTCCAAAGCCACAGAGAAACCCTGTCTCAAAAAACCAAACAGCCAACCAAACAAAAAAGATAGGGAACTACAGACCAATCTCCCTCATGAACAGTGATGCAAAAATACTCAATAAAATACTGGCAAATTGGTTCCAAGAACACATCAGAAAAATCATCCACCATGATCAAGTAGGCTTCATTCCAGGGATGCAGGGATGGTTCAACATACGAAAATCCATCAATGTAATCCACCATATAAACAAGCTGAGAAACAAAAATCACATGATCATCTTACTAGATGCTGAAAAAGCCTTTGACAAAATCCAACACCCTTTCATGATAAAGGTCTTGAAAAGATCCGGAAAAACAGGAACCTACCTAAACATAATAAAAGCTATATACAGCAACCCAACAGTCAACATCATACTAAATGGACAGAAACTCAATGCTATTCCTCTAAAATCAGGAATAAAAGAAGTCTGTCCACTCTCTCCATAACTTTTCAATACTGTCCTTGAAGTTCTATCTAGAGCAATAAGACAACAAAAGGAGATCAAGGGGATACAAATTGGAAAGGAAGAAGTCAAACTTTCACTATTTGCAGATGATATGATAGTTTACATAAGTGACCCGAAGAATTCTACCAGGGAACTCCTACAGCTGATGAACACCTTCAGCAAAGTGGTAGGATACAAAATTAACTAAAAAAAGTAGTAGCTCTACTATATATTGACAATAAAGGGGCCAAGAAAGAAATCAGAGAAACATCACCCTTTACAATAGCCACAAACAACATAAAATATTTTGGGGTAACTCTAACCAAACTTTGAGTCTTTAAAGAAAGAAACTATAGAAGATATCAGAAAATGGAAAGATCTCCCATGCTCTTGGATAGGTAAGATCAACATAGTAAAAATGGCAATCTTACCAAAAGCAATCTACAGATTCAATGCAATCCCTATCAAAATCCCAGCACAATTCTTCACAGACCTTGAAACGACAATTCTCAACTTTATATGAAAAACAAAAGACCCAGGATAGCCAAAACAACCCTGTACAATAAAGGAACTTCAGGAGGCATCACCATCCCTGACTTCAAGCTCACTATAGAGCTATAGTCCTGAAAACAGCTTGGTATTGGCACAAAAATAAACAGGTAGACCAATGGAACCGAATTGAAGACCCTGGTATTAACCCACACACCTTTGAACATCTGATCTTTGGCAAAGAAGCTAAAACTATACAATGGAAAAAGGAAAGCATCTTCAACAAATGATGTTTGAATAACTGGATGCTGGCATGTAGAAAACTGCAGATAGATCCATATCTATCACCATGCATAAATCTGAAGTCCAAATGGATCAAAGACCTCCACATCAATCCAGCCACACTGAACCTCTTGGGAGAGAAAGTAGGAAGTACCCTTGAATGAACTGGTATAGGATACCGCTTCCTAAACATAACACCAGTAGCACAGACACTGAGATAGACAATTAATAAATGTGACCTCCTGAAACTGAGAAATGTCTGCAAGGCAAAGCATCAAGTCAACACGACAAAACGACAGTCCACAGAATGGGAAAAGATATGAGGGCTGATCTCCAAAATTTACAAAGAACTCAAGAAGCTAGTTTCCAAAACACCAAATAATCCAATTGAAAAATGGGGTACAAAACTACATAGAGAATTCTCAATAGAGGAGTCTAAAATGGCTGGTAGATACTTGAGAAAGTGCTCAACATCCTTGGCCATCAGTGAAATGCAAATCAAAACAACTCTGAGATACCATCTCACTCCCATCAGAATGGATAAAATCAGTTTATGCTGGAGAGGATGTGGAGAAAGGGGAACACTCCTCCACTGCTGGTGGGAGTGCCAACTGTGGAGATTAGTATGGAGATTCCTCAGGAAAAAGGAAATCAGTCTATCACAAGATCCAGCAATTCCACTCTTGGGCATATACCCAAAAGATGTACATTCATACAATAAGGACATCTGTTCAACTATGTTCATAGCAGCATTATTTTAATAGTCAGAACCTGGAAGCAACCTAGATGCCCCTCAACTGAAGAGGGGATAGAGAAAATATGGTACATCTTCACAATGGAGTACTACTCAGCAGAAAAGAACCAATGGAATCTTGAAATTTGCAGGCAAATGGATGACACTGGAAGAAACCATCCTGAGTAACCCAGCCACAAAAAGACAAACATGGTATGTACTCACTCATATATGGATTTTAGACATGGAACAGGGGATTCCCAGCCTACAATCCTACTGCCAGAGAGTCTGGAAAAGAGGAAGGACCCTAAGAGAGATACGCATGGTAACCTGGAGAAGGGGAAATAGAAGGGATCTCCTGAGCAGATTGGGAGCAAGGTAGGAGGGGAGGGAAGAAGGAGATGGAAGACAGGGAGGGGGAGAAGAGGAGAGGAGGACAAGGGGGAGCAGGAAGGTTGATTTGGGGGAAGAATAGAGGAGAGCAAAATGAGAGATACCATAATAGAGGGAGCCATTATAGGTTTGAGGAGAGATCTGACACTAGTGAGATTTTCAGAGAGCTACAAGAATGACACCAACTGGCATTGAGGCTACCGTAAATGTCCTCCCCTGATAATGAGATTGATGTCTACCTTGAAGCCATCCTAGAACCCTCATTTGGTGGCTGAGAGAAGCAGAGGCAGACATCCACAGCTAAACACTGAACTGAACTCCTGGAACTCAGTTGTTAAGAGGAGTGATGAGCAAAGGAGTCAAGACCCAGCTGTCGAAACCCACAGAGGCAGCTGGTCTGAACAAGGGAGAACTCATGGACCCCAGACTGGTGACTAGAGGCCAGCATGGGACTGATCCAGACCCCCGAACCTGGGTCTCAGTGAGGAGGCCTTGACAATCTATGGAATCTATGGGACCTCGGATAATAGATCAGTATTCATCTCTGGCATGCAAATGGAGTTTGGGAGCCCATTCTACATGGAGGGATGCTCTCTCAGCCTGGACTCATGGGGGTGGGCCTAAGCTCTGCCTGTGACAATATGACAGACTTTGAAAATCCCCTAAGGAAGGCCATATCCTCCCTGGGGTGTAGAGTGGGGATGGTGTGGAGTGGGGGGTTGGGGGCAGGGGAGGAGGGGAGGGAGAGGGAGCTGGGAGTAACATGTGAAAAAATGTATAAATTTATTTTTATTTCAAAAAATAAAAAAGAATAAAAAATGATAACCAGAAACTGGAAGCAACCTAGATATCACTCAATCAAAAAAATGGATAAAGAAAATGTGGTTGGTACATTTACACAATGGAGTAGTACTAAGCTGTTAAAAACAAGGACACCAGGAAATTTGCAGGCAAATGGATGGAACTAGAACAACAAACATGGTACGTACCCACTTATAAGTGGACAGACATCACATAACACGATGGACTCTTAAATAGAAATACTTTAAAGTAAGATGGAGGGACTTTCTGCTCCTGCAGACTCGGGGCAGGACTTGTAAGTTCCACCACAAGTCACAAGACAGGAAGGCAGCAAGTAAAAGTGAAGTTATAATTCAGACCAGGGCAGGGCCCCGAGACTCATGATATGGTTTCCCTATCTGGAACCCACATGGTGGAAAGAGAGCACTGTCGTCTTCTGCTAGCAGGCCTCTGGCCTTCACAAAATGCAAGGAAACAGTAACGTTTTAATTCGAAGTTGACCTGGGAATCAGAGAGGGCTGGGCTCCCAGCTTCAGAGGGCCTGAGACCACAGCTGGTGGTATATAGTCTGCTTTCTGTTGCTGTGATAAAACACTGACCAGAAACAACTTGGGGAGGAAAGAGTTTGTTGAAGTGTACAATGGATAGTCTAATGTTAAGGGGAGCGAAAGAAGAAACCTGGAGTCAGGAACTGAAGCAGAGACTGTGGAGGATTGCTGCTCACTGGCTTGGTCCCCATGACTTACTCAGTTTCTTATACAATCCAGGCCGACCTTCCTAGGGATGCCACCATGTCCACAGTGTGCTAGACCATCCCATGTGAATCAGAAATCAAGAAGAGACCCCCTACAGGCCAATTTGATGGAGGCCATTCCTCAACTGAGATTCCCTCTTTCCAGATATGTCGTTATGTCGAGTTATCAAAAAACCATAACACATATCTGCTGTCTGTCCAGAGGGAATTTCAGGCAATTGCGATCCGATTTGGAGGAGACTGGCAGCTAGAGAGACTGTAAGTGAATGATACTACGTATCCCAAAGACTCCACCGTAAGTCACATGACTCTTAGAGTATCTGACGCGACCCAGTGCTTCATATTAATAAAGACTTCCCAAGAAGGACTTCCCAGAGATGAGCAAACACCAAGCCTGTCCTGCATAACCTGACCCTTTAATCGACAAGTAGAACCCTGAAAACTTGAGGTGGGACTGGTTTTCATTTTAGATCTCTCCCCACAGGGTTACTTCCTCCAGTTTTGGCTGATATGAAGACAGCAGCAGTGGAAGACAATCTATGCAGGACAGTCCCTTGTGTGTTTGAATTTCCCAAGGCATACCCCAGAAATCCCATGGCTGTGGGCTACAGGCTTAATGGGAACATCAGCGTCCGTGCAGATACCAGCCATCCCAGAGCCCCCACGGGTGATCTCTCCACAGAGGAGGAAGACTGTATCCTCCTGACCGGAGATGTGCTCGGAAAAGGAAACACGACCTACTTGCTCTATGTGGGTCTAGGAGATCAGAAAGGCACCATCCTGAGAGAGAGCACCAGACTCTCCATGCCAGGTGATGCCCAGGCTTGAGCACTAACTGGTTTAGGAAGTAGGAAGTCCAGAGGGAGGGAGTGCTGGTGGTCGGGTGGTCGGGTGGCTGTTACTTCATCAGGTGCCGGACTTTATACAACCTGAGGTATTCTTTCTCTCTCTCTCTTTCTCTTTCTCTCTCTTCTCTCTCTCTCTCTCTCTCTCTCTCTCTCTCTCTCTCTCTCTCTCTCTCTCTCTCTCTCTCTCTCTCTCACACACACACACACACACACGAGCACAGCAAAAAGAAGTAAATGCAAAAGAAAGTTGGGGACTAGTGAGGCAGGGCAATGGATAAAGGCACTTGCCACCAAACTTGAAGACCTGAGTTCTATCCCTGGGGCCCACATGGTAGAAATGACTCCCGCAGAATGTCTTCTGACCTCCACATGCATGTCTGGCCACACGTAAATTAACTAATGTAAAAGTTACAAAACTGGGCTGGAGAGATGGCTCAGAGGTTAAGAGATGGCTGCTCTTCCAGAGGTCCTGAGATCAGTTCCCAGCAACTATGTGGTGGCTCACAATCATCTATAATGAGATATAGTGCCCTCTTCTGGCATACAGGCAGACGTGCAAGAAGAATACTATATACATACTAAATAAATAAACAAGTAAAAATCTTTAAAAAACATAAAAATTTAGGAAACAATAGGTGTTTGTTTTTCAAAGTAATATAATGCTTTACATACAGTTGGCATATCTGTAAATAGAAATTTCAAAGACAGGGCAGGCATAGTGGCTTGTGTGTGTGTGATCTCAGCACTTGGGAGCTGAGGTAAAAGAAATTAAAGGAGCTTAAGGTCAGCCTGACCTACAAAGCAAGTCTCAGGCTTACCCACATAAAGCCATTCATGGTAACACATGTTTGTCATCTCATCATTCCATGGTAGGATGGAAAGCAGAGGTATCAGGATCCTGGGAAGCTGAAGGTCAGCTAGCCTGGCATTCACAGCAGAGAACCGTCTAGAGCAAGGTGGAAGGCAAGGACCAACACCTAAGTTTTCCCTATACGCTCCTCGCATGTACCTTGGCACACTTTGTCTGTATTCACTTGTATGAACATGCACATACACATGTACAAGTGTATTTTCAAAAGAGAATGGAAATGACCACAGATCAGTTTGGGAAGGGACAGAACCCAAGGTGAGGGGTGAGTGGCAGGGAGACTAAGCAGGACCTCACAGTGGGAGGCCTGGTCTGAGGACATGAGGAGCAACAGGCACTGTAGATCAAGAAACTCATTCACCATCAGTGTTTATCCAGACTTCAGGGTGTGAGATGGCTCAGAGGTTAAAGATGCTTCCCACCAAGGCTGACAACCCGAGTTCAACCCCTGGAACCCAAATGCTGGAAGGGGAACCAACTCCTACAAGTTGTCCTTGGACCTCCATGTTCACTCCATAGTGAGCATGCACACACACATACACACTAAAGAAATGAATAGCTATTTTTTAAGTTTTATTGCATTCATTTATGTGTGTGTTTGTATGGTTTTGGGTTTTCTTGTCAATTTGACACAAGCTAGAGTAATCTGGGAAGAAGTAACTTCAGTTGAGAAAATGCCTCCATCAGATGGACCTATAGGCAAGTCTATAAGGCATTCTCTTGATTAATAATTGGTATGGGATGGCAGAACCCACTGTGGGTGGTGTCACCCCAAGACAAGTGGTCCTAGGTTGTATAAAATGCAGACTGAGCAAGACAATAAGCAGAGTCCCTCTATGGTTTCTGCTTTAGTTCCTTCCTCCAGGTTCCTGCCGTGAGTTCCTGTCATGACTTCGCTCAATGGTAGAATGTGACATGGATGCGTAAGATGAAATAAACCCTTTCCTTTCCAAGATGCTTTTGGTCCTGTGTTTATTACTGCAACAGAAAAAACCAATATGGTGTGTGTGCATATGTGCATGCCACTGTGTATATGGAAGTCACAACTTGTGAGAGTCTGTTCTTTCTTCCATAGTATAAGTCCTAGGGATGAACTCAGGCTGTTGGAGCTGGTGAAAAGTGCCTTTGTCTGCTTAGCTGCATTTGCCAGCCCCAAATAATGTAATTTTAATCCTTTTAAAAATCCAGACTTCAAAATCAAGGGTTTCCACCTTACTAACTCTTTCATTTTGTTCATCTGGTGGGGTAGGGTGGGCTTCCTGACAGAGAGCAGAAATTGACAAAACAAACAAAAAGACATGATCACGGTAATCCTGGGTTCTGTGAGGCTGTTGGGAGAAGTTTGAGGGTTCCAATTAGAAATGTTGCACGGTATGAAACTAGAGCATCTTTTTTTATCTTCTCTAGACCTGACCCAAAAGCCAGAGCTTCACACCCCAGAAAGTGGTGTGGCTGGAGAGCCTGCAACTTTGACCTGTAGCGTCCAAGGCACCTGCCAAGTACCCAGAGTCCCTTTTCTCTCCTGGAATGGGCCTGACATGGCTCCCAACACATCTGTCTCCATCACCTCCTCTTCAGAGCTGTCCACCCTCAGATGCCACTTAAGTCTATCCCTAGAAAACCTGACCAGCCGTAAAGTGGTCAAGCTACAACTGGTCTGTGAGTGCTGCCGGGCACTGCCAGGGTCTGCAGTCTGGGGGAAATGGTGGGCCCCAGAGAAAGACCTGGGTCCTCAGTCATATCCTCCTGGGGCTGAGGGACCACAGGTAAGAGTGAAGTCCATGTTTGGTGCATATGATGAGAAAAGATGAAAGAGAACCTCTCTGAGTCTCAGTTATTCACTCCCAGGCTTTTAGAAAGTCTCTGAAGCTCTTTGGGAATTACAAATAAGAAGTTTGGGGGCTGTAGAGATGGCTTAACAGGCTGAGATAGAGCATTACTTACGTCAGGTACTTTTCTGTTGTTGTGATAAAACACCATGAACAAGGAAACTTGTACCAGAGTTTGTTAATAAACTCTTTCCAAAGGGATAGAGTCATCATGGCAGGGGCACATGGTGCAGGCGTGGTGGCTGACACATGATGCTGAGAGCTCACATCCTTTACCATATGCAGCAAGCAGAGTGCCAACAGGAAATTATCCAAGGTCAACTCTCAAAGACCGCTTCCTGTGACATACTTCCTCTAACAAGGCCACACCTCCCAAACCTCCTCAGACAGCACCACCAACAGGAGACCAAGAGTTCAAACACATGAGCCTCTGGGAGACATTCTCATTCAAACATCACACTTCTCTTGCAGAGGAACTGAGTTCAGCTCCCTCTAGAACCCATGTTGGGCAGCTCAAATCATCTGTAACTGTAGCACCCTCTTCTGGCCTCTGTGGGCACTGTACACACATGCACATGCACAGACATCCATATGTACATAATTACAAATAAGTTTGTGCTTTGGAGGAAGTGAAGGACAGTGTGTATGTCTCTCTGACCCTTTCTTCTCCACAGCACCTCCTAGGCTGCTCAACTACTCCTGTTTGCTGAAGAAGACCCTAGCTTGTAGTTGTTCCTTCCATGGGACCCCCATACCCTCTGTGCAGTGGTGGGTTGGAGGAACGCCTGTGAGTGCGAATAGCATAGATACCATCCTGCGCACGACCACCACCACACTGGAACCCTGGACCAACAGCACCATCCACCTCATGTGGGAACCAGAAATCATAGGGAGACTTCGCTGTGAGGGGAGGAACCAATATGGAGTCCATGCTTCCAGAATCTTCCTGATACCAGGTGAGTGGACAGAAGTCTGGTTACTAGAAGGCCAGCACTTGAGGGCCAGGATGAGAAGGAAGAGAGTCATAGTTTGAAAGCCTCAGGACAACCACACTCTCTTCCCTTTCATTGCAGAGAAAAGCTCCATTTCCAGTGTCTTCCTGAGAGGGCTAATCCAGGGCTTCGTGTATGGGACCATAGCATCTTCTTTACTCCTCCTCTTCCTCGTTGTTCTGGCGTGAGTATCAAATCAACAGCAGGGCCCTCCCGAAGCCACCACACAGCCTTAGTTTTTATTTTTAAAATTACATTCATTCTTTCATTTGTGTGTGTGTGTGTGTGTGTGCATGTAAATGCGTGTGCCATGCATGGTGTGCAAGCGGAGGACGACTTCTGGGCGTCGTTCATTCATCTCACCAGGCAGGTCAGTCTTGGGTGTAGGCTCCTTTATCCATGGGGCCATTTCAGGGGCCCCTCGCTGGCTTACGTTCATTCCCTTCGTCACATTTCCTCCTAGTTTAGTTCCTTTGGAAATGGACTCATCATTAAGTTCCAGCCTTCTTATTTGCATTTAGGGCTACACATTTCCCTTTAAGCATAAATTTAACTGCATCTCACAGATGTGGATGTGAACTATGTTATTATCCACTTGATTGAAACATTTCCAATTTCCATTATGATTTTTGACCTATTAGAAATGTCGGTGCTTTTTAGTAAATTCCCCCCACACGCTTCCAGTTCTGAGAGGATTGAATGTAAGTCTTTGAACATGACAGATAATTGTTCAACTTTGAGTCATGGCCTCTCTGGGTGATTCTGGGTAGGTGCTCTACCACTGAGCTACATCCCCAGCCCTCTTCATACTTTTATTCTAAGACAGAGCCTCAATACAGTGGTCTTGGACTTTCTCACCTTCACAGTAGCTGGTCTTCACCACCAGGACCAACGGATCCTCTTTCTAGCTTAAATTAAATAAGATCATAAAGTATACTACACATGATACCAATTTATTTTCCTGGCAGCAAATTTTTGTTTATTTTTAATAAATGTTCTACATGGGCTTAATGACATGTGCATTTCACACCTGTGAATACAGTCATGGTACACACTTCCTTAAAGTGGAATTCACTCATGTGGGGCTGGAAAGTGGCTTAGTGAACACAAGTGCTTGTCCCCCACCCTGACGATCTGATGATCCCCAGGCTTTAATGTCGGAAGGAGAGAATCAAGTCCTGCAAGCTGTCCTCTAACCACCACACCCATGTTTACACACCCCCCCCCAGTAAATAGAGAAAATATAATTTTATATAATTTGGTGTGTTGCCAAGGTCTGCTCCAACTCAACCATCTGAAGCCAGCCCTAGCCAGTGCATCTAAGCCTCAGCTTCTGCCCAGTCTCTGGCAGTATTTTCACAGCCATTTTCGGTCATTTTTGTAGAAGGATGATTTTCAGACAGGGAACGAAAAGTTGGATCTTACTCTCTCAATTCACACAGAAGCCAAAAAGACAGCTCTTCATCTGGAAAGAGATAGAGACAATGGACATGTGTAGAAATCTGGCTGCCGCTGCTGGAGTGAGGGGTGGTGTAGGATAGGCTGCCGCTGCTGGAGTGAGGGTGGTGTAGGATAGGCTGCCGCTGCTGGAGTGAGGGTGGTGTAGGATAGGCTGCCGCTGCTGGAGTGAGGGTGGTGTAGGATAGGCTGCCGCTGCTGGAGTGAGGGGTGGTGTAAGATAGGCTGCCGCTGCTGGAGTGAGGGTGGTGTAGGATAGGACCGAGTCCACAGGTAGCTAGGAAGTGATACAACAGCAAGAGAATCAGGTGACTATTTATGTAGTCTGTGGTAGGTCCACTGAACCGAATCTATAGAGCCAACAAAAGGCTGAGTTCCTTGAGTTCTGATGTACAGATATGTGCCAAAAATGTTAAGAGAAGGAAGACATAAGCAAAACAAGCTTATGAGTGGGCTGGTCACAGAACAAGCATGGTATCTGGGCAGTAGCCCAGGGCTGGAGTCACGGGAACAATGTCATGCTAAGGAGCTGGGATGTCCAGCACTCAAGTATCCGTAGAGACTAAATACCGCACTCACCACAGGGCTCATTGTCTTAGAATGAAGATACTTAATTGGTGGGAGGAAAACCAAACTTGCAAGAACAAAGAGGCCCCGACCCTCAAGAAACCGGTTTTAGGAGGAGCCAAAATGGCTGAAGTCTGAAGTCGTGCATGGACAGCCTGGGCTGGTGGTAAGTTCCAGTCAGCCTAAGCTGTGTGCTTGGCAGGCAGAAGGGATGCAGGCCAGACCCTCCCACCCCTCCTAAGCACAGCCATGGCGGCGGGCACACACTTTTGGGGAACAGCCATTGCAGCCCTACCCTGGCACTCCAGCTCTGTGTCACGTGAACAGCGTGGAAAGCCAGGGTCTTAACTGGATGTGGGTCTGGATTTACGCCTTCTTCACAACGAGGTCACGTGGAACAGCAGACCCTGTGTAGCTTGAGGCCAGCGCTGCTCCACCTTTCAGACACCAGCAGACGGTTCCGGTTGAGGACAGTAAATTACAATGTGAATGCTTAGGAAATCAGCTGGGACTACCATGAAAAGTGCCACCTGATTGTGCCTTCAAACCACAGGTTTATTCCTTAATTCTGGAGGCTAAAGACCAAGATGCAGGTGTCTTGATGGCTGGCCTCTCCTGGGGCGCTCTCCTTCACATGGAGATGGCAATCTCTGTTCTGTGTCCTCACAGGGTCTTCTCTGGGTGCATTTGCATCATTTCCCTCTTGCTCTTCTTCTGCCTCTGACATTTTGGTCTGTTTGTTTTCTGTAGCTCCAGGTTTGGAATGTAGAGTCTTGCTCATTCTGATAGCAGGCAAGAGCTACATTTAGAACCATGCCCCAGCCCGTCACTGGGAAGATTCTAGAAAAGCACTCTACCACATTCATATCTACCTTGTCTTCTTTTGCTTTTTACTTTTTTTTTTTTTTTTGAAGACAGGGCCACCCAGGATGAAGCCTCATAGTAGACAGGATGGCAGTTGTCCCCTGCCGTTTCCACCTAATCTTTTGTCATAGTCCATATGAGGGTCTAATCCACCCAGGTGAAGTCATCTTAATTGATTATCTTACTTGATTACCCTTGTAAAATCTTGTCTAAAACTGTGACTGTCTTCTAGGTGGTAAAGGCCTGGAGTTTGCCATAGAAGTTAGGGTGTCGGGACTGAGGCTGTGGCTCTTGCCTGGCATGCATGAAACTCTGGGTTTGGTTCCCAGAGCCACACGACTGAGGTGTGGTTCACACCGTATTCATTCCAGCACTCGGAAGACAGAGGAGAAAGGATCAGGAGTTCCAGCTACATAGTGAGTTGGAGGCCAGCTTGGGCTACATGAGATCCTGTCTCAATCAATCAATTAATAAATGACAAAAAGTAAGACTCTTTTAAGATTCCAAAGAAATGATTCTTTTTTAAAATTTAGTTAATTTATTTTCCATCTCAACCATAGTTTCCCTTCTCTCCTCTCCTCCTATTCCTATCCACCTCCCTTCTGCTTCCCCCAAATTCATTCCTCTTCTGTTTCTGTTCAGAAAGGGTCAGCCCTCTCATGGGTGTTAACAAAGCATGGCATATCAAGTTGTGGTAAGACTACACACTACCTCTTGGGTTGAGGCTGAAAAGACAACCCAGTAAGAGGAATAGGTTCCCAAGAGCCAGACAAAGCATTAGGAGCAGCCCCTATTCCATTATTAGGGGTCCCACAAATAGACCAAGCTACACAACTGTCAAAGTTCAGTCAGCAGTTGGCGGTTGGTCCTGAGAGGAGATGACAGAATGTCCAAGGAGGAGAGAGGGCAGACAGACAGCCGTGCGCCATTGTCCATTCTTACAGAGGAAGGGAGCAGCTGAGATACGGTCTGAGACCTCCTCAACCCAGCAACCCTCAGGACTTGGTGGGGTCAGCATACCCATTTGCAGAACAGGAAACTGAGGCATGCGTGGTTAAGGAGTCTCTAGTAGGTGGGGCAGGGAAGACACACTCTGTTTCTCCTTGCAGAGTCCCTCCAGGGTCCTTCTGCTGCCCACAGCAAAGCAGAGCTATTTAAACACTGTGGCTCTGTGTTTGCATTGCAGGCAGTAAAGGGTGATATCTTAGCCACTTTTCAATTGCTGTTAAAAGCATTAAGGCAACTTACGAAAGGAGTTTCTTGGAGGGCTCACAGGTCCAGAGGGTTAGTCCGTGACTATCACGGTGGGGCACATGGCAGCTGGCAGGCGGCAGGCAGGCAGACATGGCATTGGAGCAGTAGGGAGCTCACATTTTATCCACAAGCACAAAGCAAAGAGAGTGTGTGCACACTAACTGTGACTGTCCCAGGCCTTTGAAGCCTCACAGTCCACCCCCAGTGACACACCTTCTCCTACATGGCCATCCCTACTAATCCTTCCTAAGAGTTCAAATAGTATATGAGCCAGTGGGGGAGCAGGGTGGACGTTCTCATTCAAACCACCCAAAGGTGACTTCACAGAGTCAACAGGCAAAACCCAAGTACTTTGACAGGGTGAACCTCCATAATCCAAAAACACGAAATCCAGAATGCATCAGAACCTGAAACATTTTATTTTGAGAAAGGATCTTATGTGGCCCTGGCTAGCCTTGAACTTGATATGTAGCCAAGGAGGACCTTGACCCCATGAACCCCCCTTCACTTCTCCAGTGCTGGGATTACAGGTGGGCAACATAACATCACACCAAAATGAGTAAAATGTTATTAAAAACTAAAAGCTTCAGAATTTGCAATGATTTCAGTTCTTCAGATTAGGATGGTGAACCAAAATTAAACCCTTGCTTCCTAAGTTGCCCACACCAGGCATTTTGTTACAGCAATGAGAAAAGTATTTAATAAACAGCATGCCTGAAATACTTCAAGAAAGAGCAAATGGCCCCCTGTAGTGCCTGCTGGGGGGGGAGTGGGTGGATAACTGACCAGTGTACCTTTCCTGTCCCATGCCACCCTGTCACACAGGAGTGGTTGCTGCCCTTTGCTGGTTTTCCAACTCATTCACATGCCTGCATTAAGAATCCGTTAAGGCTGGGGCTGCAGGTCAACAGTAGACTGTCTGCCTAGAATCCCAAGTGAGGAGCTGGGGGAGTGAGAGCCCCTGCCTAGAATTCCCCAGTGAGGGACTTGGGTGTGACTCAGAATCGGAAGTGTGTGTGTGGGTGCTCAGTGAGTGGTAAAGCATCTTCGGGAACCCTCCATTGAGGGGTAATTCTGCTGCCTGGCAAGCTCAAGGCCTTGGATTCAGTTTAGGACTCAGTGAATTCTCCTACAATTTATGCCAGCTGTCCTGAGCCCAAGGAGTGTTTCTCCCCCATCATAAAAATGGGAAGAGAAGAGCTATTTCCCCACTGTCTAGCTTATCTGACTTCAGCTCAGAGCTGTGGCTCTTACAATACATAAATATATATTTACTTCTTTTGTAAGGGGGTGTGGATTCCCGGGTCTGAGGGAGGAAGCTGAGGTTGGACCTTGTCTAAGGGACGAGGGCTGGAGTCTGGACATCTGCATGTGAGGAAAGAGGCTGGGCATTGGACTCCCAGGGTCTGATGGAGAAGGTTGGGCTCTGTGCATCTGCGCCTGAGGAAGGAGGCTGTGGCTTTTGCACCTGGGTCTGAGGAAGGAAGACTGGGTCTAGACTCCTCTGACTAAGGGAGGAGGATCTGGGGGTCTGTCTGAGGAAGGAGGGTCAGGACCCGGCTCTGGAGAGGAGGGTTTTGGCTTCTGCAGCAGGAGGCAGTTGGATGGAGTGCATCTCAAGCCCGGATTCTGGGGACCAGGAGGACGCCAGTGGCACGGGAGGGGGGGGGAGCGAGGGAGGGGCCGGGCCACAGTAACAAAGGCCTCTCCCTCCAACGAGCAACCCCCCCGGTCCCGCCTCCACGGCCCCCCGCCTGCCCTGATTGGCCGGTCTCCCTGCCCGTCAGCGCCACCCCCCTCCCCGGGTCTGCAGCAGCTCCGGCCGCCTCGTCGCGCCCCCCCAGCCCCCTCCCCCCGCCCCCGCCGCCCCCCGGGCCGGTGCAGCCGCAGGCGGGGTCCCCCTTCCCCTCCCCCTCTCCCCCAGGCTCGCGCGCCCCGACCGCCCCCTCCCCTCCCCCTCCGCGCCGCCGCGATGCCCCCCCCTGCGCCCGGGGCCCGGCTCCGGCTCCTCGCCGCCGCCGCCCTGGCCGGCCTGGCCGTCATCAGCCGAGGTACCGCAGCGCCGGGGGCGGGAGGGGGCTCGGCGGGGACGCCCGGGTCCCGGGAGGGGGTTCAGGGCCAGGGCGGAGGTGGGCAGGGAGGTACCCCCTCGGGGGTGGGGGTATGCGGATGTCTGGAGCCGGGGACCCGGCAGCAGTCCTTGAATGGGCAGGGGGTCCTTGGGTGCATGGATGCGCCGGGGTTCAGGGGTGCACGTCCCCATCTGGTCAGCTGCCCCATCACTAGCAAGAGGGTCGCCGACACCTGCTGCCAGCCTGAGGCGGCAGGAATGTACAGCTCTAGATCAGGGAGGGGCTCAGATGTTGGGGTAACAGTCCCCACCTGAGCAGAGTCTCCAAACTGAGTTGGGGTACCAGACTGAAATGATGCTCTGTGTGTGGAGGGGTCTTGTCTGCACAGTCCTTGCCTGGGGACAGGGCTCTGCGTCTTTAGGCGAGGTGGAAGAGGGAATGTCTTCCCAGGGTCAGCAAGCAAAGCGACAGTGTCAACAGACTGAAATCAGGGAGGGGGCTGAAACTCTTCCCAGCTGAAAGTGTTGGCATTTGGGGTGTTAACTGGGAGATGGTCTTGAGAAGTCAGGAAATTGGGGTGCTGGGCTAGGGATTCTGATGACTGTTTGGATGGAGAAATGGGCAGGTGAGGTGTGAGGGTGGGCTGGGGAAGGTAGGGTGGGAAGAGCTACTGAGGGTCACAAGGGTCTCAAGCCACCCAGTGGGCCTGGAGACCCTCTGTAACAGCAGGTGTGGGTCCTGCCTTGGTGTCCGGGCTGCCTTCCCTGCAGGGCCTGTCAAGGAGAGTATGATCAAGGAAAGGGCTCAGGGCACAGGAGGGAGAGGGATGGGGCAGAAGACTGAGCTGTGGGTACCCAGGAAGCCAAGAAAGTGTTAATTTGGCATTTCCACATGGCTTCCTCCAGGCCCCATCCAATCGAGCACCACAGAATCAGGGACATGCTAAGCCATTAGGGACACAGCATTGTGACCCCAGCAGCCCCAAGGGAAGCAGCTACTCTGGGCCTCCAATCAAGTCACCCACAGTCACAGAAACAACCCCGCATGCCAGCCAAACCGCACCTGCAGACTACAGTCACATAAACAACCCTGTCCACACAGGACACCCACACGCAGATCCATTGGGGGAGGGCACGGAATCTGCCAGGAATGGAATGGGCCAGAAAGTCTACTTCTTAGCACAGTACAAGGCTGAGCGCTGTCTTGCTTGCTGACCATGCCTGGGTGCCTTTCTCTCCCGTCACCTTAGGTTTCGGTGTCTGGCTTATTTATGCCCCCTCGCCAGCCTCCGTTACTCGCTGCTGACACTGCCAGTCTCCCTGCTGGCTTCAGCACAGTGGCATGTCTGTGCTGACCTCCGTTGGCCCCGGAGTTTGAGCCCTCCCTCTTACCGTACCCTTGTTCACTTCCTTCACTGTAGCTCCTTGGCTCCTGACGTTCCCCCAACCCTCTTCTGAAGGGCCTGTCCCATTGGCCAGTTTGCTTCTCAGAAGTCACTACTATGAAACTCTCCTGGGGTCCTCCCCTGGGGGTGACGGGGCGGGGGTATCTGTGGCAAAGCCAAATGACCTTGATCAATGAAAACCCGAGAGAGAGAAGGTCGGACCCAGTGGGTTGAGCCAAGATAAATCTATCTGTTGGACAGGTGCCCCGTTCATATCCCACTGCTGCCTTGGGGCGGGGGGTACCTTATTTTATAAAGTATGCAAAATGGTGCTTTCTTTTTTAATCCATGTTTTCATGAAGAGTGTGTAAGAATCAAGTCCTTGACCCCATCTTCCTCACACATGGTCACGTATTCGTTTAGTCAGAATCTCACTGTGTAATCCAAGACGGCCTTGAATTCAAGGTGATCATTCTGTCTCAGCCTTTCAAGTGCTTCAATTACAGGCATGGGCTCCTCCCTTCTCCCACAGATTATTTATTTATTTATTTTGGCAGGATCTTAATATGTAGCCGTGGTTGGCCTGGAATGTGTAGATCAGGCTGGCCTTGAACTGAAGGCAAGCCTCCTGCAAGAGGAAGAAGAGCTTCCTAGATCCTGGGTCTGTGGCTGCCTAGGTCTCACACACACCTGAGGGAAATGCAGCAGAGAGCATACCCCCCTGGCTTTCTCTTCCTTTCACAAATTCGTCCCACACAACTTTCAATGCAAAGCAAA